ATTATTGACAACAGAAAGTCTACAAGAGCGGAAAGCGATGTGCACCACAAAGATATGCAGATTGTTGTTGTAATGCGCGTTAATACGCCTTTCCCTATAAAACAGATCAAAGCAGACGGAATCTACACGGGCAAGCAGTTTCCGCTGGAAACTACACAGATTGTGTAGTCGGCTTAGATGCCTGTCTCACAGTTATTTCCGAGGTAAATAGAAGTGTTTAGCTGATCTGGGTGGCGGGTAGCTAGCCCACTGGATCTGTATGCTCCCTGGAATGGGATTGCTTCTCAGAATAGCCAATTGCAGATGCCTTCCCTGTGTTATTTGCAGCCCAAGGGCAATGGAATCCAGCCTCCTGCAGTGAACTGTGGTGTAGTCCTTACTTTAGGACAGGGTGAGGTTTAGGTTGCGAGGACGAAAATCAACTTTCAGTGACTGATTTGTGTAATGATGGATCAAATCCGCATCGATAAGGAATGCAATTCAGAGCCTAAAACACTGGGCTGCATGCTACTCTGTAAAAGAGTTAAACCTTCAACGGGATTTTTAAATATTTGATTAACCTTCTTACAGTGATTTTAATCTCAACTGCACACATGTCAGAGAGGAATTCTGTTTGTATTCAAACATAAAACAAGACGGAAACAGTGGCTCGAGCCCTCAAAACTGCTCACACTCAACAACTGATTTTCCTCTTTTAAAAGTAAAGCACAAAAATAACAAAAATTGAATTCTCATCCTTATTAAACTCTCCAACACATCTTGCAAAGGAGAGGAAACCAATCCCAATTTCCTCCATTTGTCAGGTGTTGCAAAATGAAAAGTATAATCCCAAAAGAAAATATCCATAAAGTCTGTGCCTGCAGATATCAAGTACTTTAACGGCTTTATGTCAACATGCCTCTGATGTGGTACAATGCACAAAAGAGGGGGGAAGTATGAGGATCTATTAGTTTGTTGTATAAATCATTATTCATTTGTGCATTATACAACATTAAAAATGGAAATATATTCTTTAAAACAGTTCAAACTGTTGACTGTTTTCAGGGAGCAAAACAGCAAAAGGTCTGAAATGGAACAGATGGAAAAGTCATAAATAATCATTTCAGCACCTATAACAGACACACAGTTAAACATGGGAGCACATATTTAAAAAATCCTCATTATTAAAATTAAGGGACAGTATATCAGTTGGGGGGCAAGCTATATTTGACCATTAGTCAACCAAGTAGGACGTTCGCCTTTTTTAATCCAGCTCCAGAAGTTCTACCCCTTCTGAATTTATCATTTAGATATATCTAAACCTAATTTAGATCGTCACAGTGATGATCATTAATTCACATATAAATGCACATAAGATGAAAAAGAGGTAGAAAAATTATTGAGCATGGTGCAAATGCCTTAAAGCGATTAATTTAGTGTAGATTAAACCAAGGTTTCAGTACCAGAAAAAAAGGTGCTGTAGTATGAATAGTATAGACAAATCACCCCTCCTGCCCCTATCAACAGATCATCTGACCTCTCAGGAGCAGGATCCGGTGTGGTATCCTGTCACCCTAGTTGTCACGTACCAGTCAGAAACATGCAACTACATTTAAAGGTGAGCACAACTCTCTTCTAAGTATCCAGCTGTATATAACTGGTGTTATATACAGCTGTATTTAACTGGTTGACTGAGGCGAAGACAGAAGGTTTGGTATTTCTGGAAGGAAAATGAATAAATAAGTAAATATAATGCACCAAGAGAAAAAAATGAAAAGAAATAGCAGTTATGAGTTTACTTTTTTCTCCAAACGCCCACCTCTGCTTATTTTCACTGCTCGTTTAAGCCAACAAACAGCAAGCAAACCAAACAAAAATCATGCTACGATGGTCATGTCAATGACAGTGTCTGTCGACAGCATGAGGACAACCCCGAGGCTGCGGAAGCTGCTAAAGAAAGTTGCACCACACCCGCAGCACCTGCTCAAACAGCAAATGCATCGTGCTGATAGCTGTTGATGCAGACATAGCTACTGAGGGCAGGTCCAGATTGCCTTACTCAACAGGCCTGCAGAGCAGGGTGCGGTGAGTGAGAAAGAGGTATAGCAGCCACCACGCACTGCCGTTAATGGTCTATATCCTGATATCCTGCCATCACCCCGAACAGCCGGATGCCTTTTATGGCTTCTGGAAATACAGTATGGATTGCTCGGTCACTATTTAATCGGAATTTTATCCTCTGACTTTCTTTTTCTTTCCTTCTTTGGTCAGTGTTAAACCATTTTGTATTCCAGAGGATGCCAGCAATTTTTTAAAAAGAGCCTGAAATATCACTTAACTAGTTAGTAGGACTCTGATCGTATGGAAACACTATAAAAAATAAAAAAAACTTAAAAAGTTGTAAGATTCCAGCTTTCAAATACTATTAAAAAATACAGCAAGCTTAGAGGTGGAATGTGATGCCTAAAAGTGCATTTTTCTACAACCTGTTTTTTATAAAGACACACTTTCCATTTAAGTTGCACTATACCCCCGAGACCCAAAAAACCCCGACTATGCCATCCACTGGCAGCTGCCACATGTGCAGCACAGCCCACGGGGCTTCAGCTCCCCACAGACCAACAGGGGCAACAACTCCCTCAGCTGGCCTTAGGGGACCCTTTACTCAGTCCACCCGGCAGAACAAGCTACCGCCACTCGGCTGAGAGCTCTTAAGCTTGTCTAATTTTCATGAATACAGCCATAAAAACCTGACAAATAGAAGTTTTAAGGAAAATTTGAAGACGTACTTTATCCCCTGCCAACAAACGTTGATCAACAACATTGAGATGGAGAAATGGAGAAGCGGGCAGGTGGTTGAGTTTAGCATTTATTATTTTATATATTTAAAATGTCTTTATACTAATAAAAGCAAAGCTTTAACTATCAACAATTTATTTGAACAATTCAGCCCCAAATGGACCGCTTTTATCACTACCGCCTATGTCTAATTCAAGCATAATTAAAAGGCGGTAAAATAACCTTTTTTGAGGGACACGTTTCTCACTGGGAGACGACTCATTTCTAACGCAAAATGTTCAGTCGAGAAACTTCAGCCAGACTCAGAAATGTGGGTATCATGGAGGCATGATTCAAATGGAAAAGGAGTAAATCCTGTGAGACACTGACGTCTCTATTGATTCATGGTGATAAATTTAGAGGCCGTGAGCCACACGAGCAAACAGCATCCATAAAAGCAGGCCGAAAAAAGTAGTAGCAAAGAATGAAGAAGCATTTTCCAATGAAGAAATAAATGCTGTATAATAAAGAAACATTGTAAGTTTCTAAATCTATTGCTGGGTGAACCTTCAGCATCCAGAGGTTTATAGCAGTTACTGAGGAATCATTAAAATAATCACATTTTTGGAAAACCACAACTGGGAAAAAGAGCAAGATGACAAACTCCAGGAATCAGTTTCTGTCATCATCAATTCCCTGGCTCACGCCCTCTACACACCTTTTAGGGGCTGAAATGCAAAATCAGCAGCTTTCTTCCTGCTCCCCTTGCTACCATTTATTTTTTATCTGGTCGTGGTCTTTATCGGAACTGTGGGAAACCAATGCAACCCAGGATTTGGAGGGAGGGAAAAAAGCTGGTAAGATTCTAAAAGCCCTCCAACATGGAGTAAACAATCTGGGAGCTTAAAATGGAAACAGCAGCTCAGGTATAAAGTTGCATCTCTTAAGGTATCAGATTGTCCTGGACTGAAGACCATTAAGTATCAGATGTGCATTTCAATGTCAAATGAGAAAAACAAATACCTGCACAGGTTAAGAATGCTTAAACGCTTGTTTCCTAAACGTAAAACTAGATCTAGTGATTCAGAAGTAAGTCATCACCTTCTGATTTGAGGTTCTTCATGAACAATGGCTTCTTTTTTCTTTTTTGTTTTTAACTGGGAAGCAAGTTACCAGTTATATGGGCCGGTGCTTGATTTATTCTACAGGATTTGTTTCAGTTCAGTTTGATTAGATGCAATATAAATGCAATATAAGTATTTTTGCATTCAAGAACCATCTTAATGTGGTATAACTGGTTTTAATGTCTGTGTATACAGTCAGTAAAACTCTAAATCAAAATCTGTACCAGTCATTCGGGATGTAAATTTCCTAGCGCAGTAGTCTTATCTAATTCATTTGAAGTCAGACTTATGAATTATACTGAATTAATTCAGAGGGAATGTCAAAGTAGACTTTCAATCCAAGCACTGTCGCAGCTCCGGTTAGTCAACTTCATTTGCTTAAGTAATGTCACCGTGAGGGAGCACTAATGCTTTGGAACTACTTCAGCCTTCGACAGTTCCAGCCAAATTTGAAGAGCTTTCTATTCTAATGTAAGCATATTTATCCAGCGCTGACACAAATTTGTTTAAATAGTCGCAAACAACATCATTAAAGACAAAGCAACAACAGCAATGTTTGATGTAGTTTTCCTGATCGAGCTCCCAACGATACACAAACCATCATCAGAAAAATGACACTAAAAATAGGTTCATTGGCAGCAGCCTTTTTAAGGTTATATCTTTGTGTCCGTCATCGGTTATGGGCGGAGCCGTGGTATGCAGAACGTGCACACATAAACGGATAGGACTGACCAACCGAAACACCAACGCGTCAATTTCTTTGTATTCCTACCACTGATATTTAAACATGGCAAAAATAAAGTATTTCTAAAGGAAGATGGCATTAAATGTGCTGTTTTACTGTCCCCGTTTCACAGGAAGTGACCAAACCTCATTGCGGGGTGGGAATGAACTCAAGAAATCTTAAACTCATTACTGAATACCACTTTGATGAGTAAAAAGGAATGCAACTTAGGAGCTGTGTCATAATTTTCATTTAAATAATCATCATCATCTATACATAGCAACAACCACAAAGGTTAGAAAGGACATGCGTGTTCAATGACCTTTGACATTTTGCGATCTGCCTTTAGCTCGAAACCAAACTGCGTAGCTGGCGGGTGACGTGCGAAAACTCACCCGTCTGCGACAGAAAGGTAAACCTTGCGTAATGATGTTGATGCTAAATATCTTGAGCACTTTATGAGGGGGCAACGGCTCGGTGGCGACGTCCTTGGGGTCTGCCAGGTGGAAGCCCTGGCTCTCCAGCGGGACATGGGCGATCTTCTCTTTCCCAAAGGCGACATTTGGCATCTTTCTCTGAGCGGACGAGGACGAGAAACGGGGAATAGGGCAATGCCGCAGCATTGCAAAACAAGCTGTCTAATGGATCATATCAGAAGGAGTTCCAAAAACTGACCACCGTGCGCTGCTACAAGACAACCCCCTCTTAAATAACCGCAGAAGCTCCGGTGGACCTCCACACCATAGTGCGTACACTAAAACGGCCCTTGTTGAGTTCCTACCTACAGAGAACTCATCCCCCTACTGACTGGCACCCTTTAAAGTATCTCTAGGCTGTGAGGTCACTGTTGCCCCCAAGCCAGGCAGAGCAGCTGATGTCAGGGCCTGAAAAGAGGATGGACCAATGCAGTTTCTCCCCCCTCAGACAGGGAGTGTGGAATCTGCTCTCATGACCCCTCCGTGGTGGAATGTGCAGCGGGACTTGTGCGACGCAGCACACATATGCCCAGGGAGCTTCCTCATTGTGGTCTTTCGCTGACCCCTCACCCCCATTTGGACCTCACAGCATCACGGAGCCCATTTAACTTTATCCCACGAAAACTGACCTCATAGAGCAAAACAACAGATGACCACATCCTCATCTAAATGCTGCTCAACTGTAGCGCCGAGATTTGCCAGGATTTGTCGGACAACTTTCTCTGACCGTTTCGTGGACCAAGGTGATCAGGAATGTTGCTGACTGTCTATGTCAGCAGAGAGGCTCGGGATATTTAAGGAAGATAACAGCTGTCCAAGGTTAGAATGTGCAACGAGTACACTTAAACAAGGATTCATTTGAAGGGATTCAGAAGGGTGGGGGTGGGCTTTTTAAGTCTATTGAAAAACTTCACATTAAGCTACAAGGGAAGGTAAAAACCAGCAGGATTCCTTCCCCATTCAGTTCCATCATGTTGCCAGAGAAACCTTTGGCAAAGATGGAGGAACATTTTAACAGCCGGTAGTTACATTTATGCCACTTATGCTCCATCCTCTCACCTAGCGATAAAAAAAGGCAAAAAGTAAAGAGATCTGAAAATGACGTACAATCAGAACTGAATATGGATGAAACCACGTAGGGGTACCGGGGAAAAGGAAAAGCTTTTCCTTTGCACATCTAAAAGTTCAAGCCCAGCAAAAGGACAAAAACTGTCTTCTGGTCCCACATGCACTTCTGTTCGGTGTCTGCAACACTCCAATTAAACAGTTCTGAAATGAAACAACTATAAGCTCAGCATAGTCAAAGCTATTTGGTAACCAATATAGATCATTCCATTTAGAACGATGGACTAATGGCAGAAGTAGCCAATGAGTGAGAGCCGTCTAATCTAATAAATGTCAGTGAACCTAAATACAAATAATAATGAAATTTAGGAATAATAACTGATGTGGGGTGTGTGTGTATCATATATGTGTCATGACTGTTAAAGGTAAATTATCTTCTGCTGTAAAACACAAATGAAGTTCATACACTCAATTTGGACAATTTGGAAAACACTCCTCGTCCTGTAATAGATGCTCATTATGCAGAATATATCACATTCAGTCATTTAATTAGAAATAGTAACATTTGAATTAGAGAAGAGTTGCTTCCTTCTATACACGTGATCTTCTGTTCAGAAAACTTTGAAGGGCACGCAGTGCTGAGGCACGTTCAAAACATGTGACAGAGATCCATCCCCCACCACACTATCTGCCAGTGTTCCTCTCACATGAACAGAAAAAAAAATCTGATTTTCTTGCTTTAAATACAAATAATATTTTTTTGTCTAAGTCTAAGTATGCATGTGTACTGTAGCTTGACAATCTGTCAAATACTGTAAGTATTATGTATATTATGAACCTTTTTTATGTATATTATGTAGATAAAGTTCATCTGTGTGTGTCTGTGCTTCAAGCTGCTGCAACACAGCGTGCCCAGAGCTCTCCTTCCAAATAAGCAGGTACAAAGACTGAAATTTACATGAAGAAAAAGTGTTTCAGAAAAACTATTCTCTGAGAGGTTTTTTTTTTATGTCTGGCGGCTATTTTGAAATTGGACATTTTCATATAGTCCCTGACCTGATTAAGTTGCAATGAAAACTACATTTCCCGTTAGTCCCGCTGTTTGAAATAACCGATGAGGCACCACTGACTGGCAGCTTTTTCTGACATGTTCCAGATCTTGTGGGGGTTACTTGAGCTTTCAGCTAATCTTAGGCCATCAAGCCATGTGGAAGACACACTGTTCCAGCCTGCTACAACATGATCACTCTCAATGTAACTTATCAAATTTAAAGTACACCTTCTCTATTTTCCACGCTTGACACAATGCTTCACCTCCCTATTTTCAGTCAGTTAATCCAAGGACTTATTTTATATTAGTTTTGATGCTTTCTAACCCTGCAGAGTCTTTCTCAGTATTATTAAACTGCTCTTTTCAAACCATCTATCTGCATTACTGCTTGGTCACTCTGCAGACCCACATCAGACAATCTAATACTACTGGAGGCAAGTAGTCAAGAATGTTTGGCTTCTAGTGACACAGTACACTGTCAAGTCACTTCCAGCTCTGGGTACAAATTCGGACACAGGTTCTGTGAGGCAAAAGCTGTGAGCTTTGCGTGCGTTAACCTGTACTTGCAGCAATTACCATTTAGTTAACCCCAGTGAAAAAAAGCTATGCAAACATTAAAGTGGTTCTACACATCATCTGTGAAGCAGCCCCCACTCCTCAGATTCATGGAGGCAATCTCATCATCCTTTTTAACAAAAAAAAGATGGAGCTCTTCTAATGTATAACACAGGATTTCGAATGTGAGAGCTTTACAACATATTAATGTCAAACAGAAGATGTTTAAATTCCAGCATTACACCGTGCAAAGCAGCAGGTTTCCTCAGGAAAGACAATGACGCATTCTGGGTTGAGCTGCAAAAATCAACTATGAGCTATGAGCCCAGGATTATTGGACGGATGTGCAATATTTTCAGACTACTGCCTCCCTCTGCTGTCAGCAGCTGGAATGGACAGACATCATGTTAAGATAAGCCTCTTTCACCCATTTAGTGCTCTGTGTGGAAAAATGAGAACCGTGAGTTTCATTGATTCTTCCTGAAAATACCTAAGAAATTATCTGCAGATGTCCACAGGTAGTAAAAAAAACAAAAAAACAACCATAAGTTCCAATAAAATCATTTTGTTCCATTTCTATTAATGTATTTTATTCCTTTTAGTTTCTTCGCACAGTGAGATTAAAGCAGTGAGGTTAAGCTTTAACACGCTTGTCCAAACAAACCAATTAAATCCTTTCCTACTGGAAATGGTTACCCATAAAACTTTGGTATGATCCAGTAACTCCTGACTCTCAGGGAGCAGGCATGTCGCTACGGTGTGGTGGAATGGCATTAGAGCACTCTGCGGTCTGTATTGGACCTCAGCCTCTGACAAGCATGACTCAGATCAATAGGCTTCTTTACCATGTTTCATTGAACTATAAAGTTAGCCCTAAATAGCAGAACTGTCTTGAAGACAATTCAAACTGATACATTTCTTCTCGTTAGCCGTTGCTGTCAAATATTTTACATGTCCCTGTAAAAAATAAAATAAAAAATCCCACAAAGGGAGAAATGAGGAGATCCCTGTGAGATGGTGATCTCTAAAAGCAGCTTACAGAGCAGGTTAGGGTTTATGTTCCCACTTGACAAGTTTATTATGGACTGAGACATTAAGAAAACCACCCTGATCCTCAGACCTTTTATGCAATTTATACTCAGCCAAACAGCCTGAATGAACCTCTCTGTTACCCAGAGCAGATAAGGCATTGAAATAGCATTACTGTCAACTGGGAGCTTAGGCGGAACCCTGAAACTATTAAGGAGAAGCTCCAAGTATAACATAAATGAGACAAAAAGCCAAGGGTGAAAAACAAGCCACTCACTCCATCAGGAGGTGTTTCTCTGTGTAAAGTGAGACACTTATGTGTATGCACTACCTCAGAGATGGGAGTATGAAAACAGTGGGTCGTTTATGGCTCAATCCTGATGGCGTGTAAAGGTCAATGTGTGGGAGAAAGCGCCAACAATAAGCAGCCGGCCTTTTCTTTGCAATCATATTTAATTGGCGCCAATAAACAGAAATGTGAGAGCCGAAGTGATACTTTGTGAAGTGATTTTCCACAACTTTTGAAACGAGGCGGCTGACCTGAGGTGTTTAACAGATACAGGGGTGTGTTGTTCCTCCACAGTTTATGTGGATGAATTTGGCCGGTTGTACACGAGGTGTCATGACTAAAGTCTGTTGGGATGTGAGTTATGTGTATTTTCTCTAAGGCTGTGTTTCATAATGTATACAAGGAACAATAAAAAGGAGACAAAAAGAGTGTGGACAAAACTAAAACACCATTTATGTTGAACACAAATACGTTTTAAAGTGGGTTCTATCACGTCCTATGCTAATTTAGCACAAAGGTTTAGCTGTGTGCTTATTATCACTTGCTACTATAACAGCTCAGGTTGTTCCCGTTGGAATGAGGGGGGGGAGTTATCTTAAACATATTCATCATGATTAGCTCCCTTTTAGTAAATTTCATGCACAATTTCCACTTCTTAAATATAAAAGGTAGAAAAGAGGTGGAAAAGAGGTTTCTGGTGTTTGTCATAAGTGTGACAAGACACCAGAAACAGCGCTAAAACACATTTTCTGTGCTGGTACAATGGATCAGTAAAGCTAGAAACTAGATTTTAATATCCATGAGAAATCCCTGATAGAAGCAAATGCACCACAGAACAACCAAAGCTCGTCGAGCTGCACATCCTGTATGAAGTGGAAGAGGCTCCACTGCTACACTGGATATAAAACTAATCTTTTTGACCTGGAGGTGAAAGCGACTTCAATTCATGACTCATTGTCCTTTGAAATGGTTAACTTCCTGCTCATTATAAGAGTGGTGTTGGCACTTTCTTCAAAAAGAATTTGTTTAGACAGGAAGACCGGCAATGTCCAGGCGGGGACATCCTCTATCCGGTGATTCCAGCCTGAAAGTCACAAGTCACCCACACCCCATTCCTCAGATCATTAAATTCCAGTATTCTAATTAAACTTTTAATTCCTGATAGTGAACTGTGCAGATTTGGCCACAGTGGGATGTTCAGAGTGGTGCAGGATCATTTTCACCACAAGGTGGAGCTGCTATTATTTCAAACAAGTCATCTGTAGTTTGTGATCTGTCATGCAAGGAATATCTTCCACTAACACGTCTTCATCTGTTCTGGGCTCAAACAGCTGTGCTTACCTTCTTGTTGGAAGAGCTTTGGTGTGTACATCCCAAGTCCTGATTATTATTGGGGGCAGACACATTGTTCCTGAGAGAGGGAGAGTGCAACCCTTCCTCCCCTTCTTCCTCCTCCTCTTCTTCCTCCCTCCCACTCTCTGCTGAATGTTCAAATTCATCACTCTCTTGGTCCATCTCCTCATCCTCCTCCTCCTCTTCCTCCCCCCCCTCTTCCCTCTCCTCCTCCTCCCTTCCTTGCTCCTCCCCTCCCTCTGTCCTTTCCTCGGTCTCCTCCTCCTCTGGGTGGCTGCTGCTGTTGTTGTTCTCCTCCTCTTCTTCCTCGTCCGCCTCCTCTTCGTGCGGCGGCTGGCCTCGCAGCCGCCTCTGTTCCGTCCCCCACATCCACCGGGCTCCTTTTTCTTCCCCGTTCAGTTCATTTCGTGGGCCTTCCTCGTCCGCGTCGCCTCCCTGAGGGCCATTTCTGGCTCCAGACTCACCGGGTGCCCATGGTCGCTCTCCCTCGCCATCGACCTGTGACGCCTCCAGCTGTTAGAACCCAGAGGAAGGAATATTTGTGAGATACGAAAAAATGACTTCATGATGCAAAGAAGTTCCTTTTGAATCTGACAAAGACTTGAACTTATTCGTTTGCTGCTCTCACCCTCGGCTGCAGCTGCTCATCCTCCTCTACTACCCGGTTGATGTGCTCGTCCTCGTCGCCCTCCTCTGCCGCCTGCTGGGTTGCCCGGGCCGTAGAGGAGGCGTTACCTCGCACCGTCGGGCCCCCGGGCCCCCGACTCCGCCTGCTGCTGCTGCCCCCCGACAGCAGATCCTGGTTCATTTCCAAAAGCCAGCTTGCTACCTCCTGGACCTTCGCTAGGCTGTCTGAGGAGGGGAAGGGCTTGGCATTCTGCAGAGACAAAATAAGGCAACACCTTAAACACATATGCCAAACACTCATTCCTTCTATCACAAAATAATATTTTCGTGAGCAAGTCTGTCAGTTATCGCTGCTTGCTATTCTCCAAAGTTTTCTAAAGTAAACATTACTGACAAGCAGAATGCTCTCTTGAACATAGAATTGTGTTGCCCTGCAGCAGACTGGAAAAATGATAGGACTGCTTGGCTTCAGATCACAGGAATGGATGCTCCACCTCAGATGTGAATGAGTGAGCAGAACAGCCTAGGGAGCTACTCAAATTCTAACGAAGCCAATAAACAAAGTCAAGGAGGTCAAACAGAAAAGACACTGGATGCCTTTCCTACTGGATGGCTTGAGTATGTACATTATAAAGACTGCTTCTGAAATAAAACTGTGCGTGAAAAACAGATACCAAAATGTGTCTTCAATCACACTGTATCTAATGAAGATGAGTGACAGAAACAATTTTTCCACTCACAATAGTGTCAATCTGCCACCATCAAAGTGTACCTTTACCCACACATCCTTGTTTAGAACACCATCTGCACACAGGATGCAGTCTCCACAGAATATGACAACAACGAGCAAAGCCCCGAAAGGTCAATTAAAAATTACAAATTAGGCTTTCTTAATTAAGTGTGAACAACTAATTTACCTTGGTACAGATGCCTTTAAGTAGAGCTTCAAAGCCGTTAAACTGAAGACTGATTTTTTTATTTTATTTGTGACATCAAAGTTACAGATTAGCACATTCCATTTTCTAAGTTCAGTCCGGATTATTTCTATAGTAGGCACAGCTCATTTTAAGGAACCCCTCTGAACAATTCAGGAACAGGATGGAAAAAGCTGAACCCTCAAAGTATTCAGACATGTTCTCTTTGAAGTGAAACACCCAGGATTGTAGGCAGGGCCCACAAAGAGATGCAGACAGTCAACCAGCCACATTTCTTTGCCTTGAAATCAAGATTTATATCGATGAAGAGTCATTTGGGCCAAGGTCACCCTGAATAATAAGCCAATCAGAAAGCGGAGTGCTGCCCAAGCCCATACCACACCTCCATTCTGATCTGATCAGCCGATTCCTCAAAGCCATTTTATGTGTATAAACACACCAATGCACGGCTTTACGAGAGAGTGGAAAATAGAGTTGGAAAGCAGTGAACAGGTCAACACACATATAGTTCACTGACAGCAGCCAGAATGCAACCAGTAATGCCCGAAGTGGGTAACCCCCACAGGAAGTCAAGGTTATGCATCTTTGCACAAGCACAGCTTGAAGAACAAATCCCACAAAAATTCATGACTGCAGTTGCCGTTTGAAAATTACTAATGAAATCAGAAAAAATTCTTAAAAGTGACTCCTCGAACTACATATCTATGATAACTCACCAGCTTAATACATGTTTGTCCTGATGCAGCAGAAGGGTGGGGTAATAAGTAGAAACGTCATCATTTAGTTTTTTTCCCCTGAGAAAAACACCAGTGTTTTTCATGAGAATGTGCAGGCTGTGTGGCCAGAATTGTTTTTCTCCAGGTGTTTAAATATGCACGCATATAACTGTAATTTTGTTTTTATTTAACAATCATATAAAATCTACAAGCTAGCAACAGTTTGCTTTAAAAAAAAAAAGGTTTTACCTGAACAGGCAAAATATACTACTTTACATTCAGTTTAACAAAAGGCAGCATTACATCATTAGAAGCTCTTTTTAAACTAAACTCTTAACATTAGGCTGCATACAGCTGTGTGGAAATTGATTTTTGAAAAGGAAAAAAAAAGAAAGAAAGAAAACTTGTTACACTGTGAAAAAAAAGTTTATTTTTGTCTGTAAGATTGCAAATCATCTTTGTTCAGGCAGCTGTGCCTCTGGTCATTTTGAATGCTCATAGAAGGCCTTTCACCAATCTTAAGTGTGACAAATTGAGAAATGGCCTGTGCAGACTGCAGTTCCACATCTCCACAATCCACTACAAGAAAAGAGGAATATCTAGAGGAAGCTCACAAACATTTATCTGCTTCAGTTCGCACCACATTCCCTGACCTTGATGAAACAGTCACGGGTCCCTTTGTGAGGCTCTTCTTCCTCTCTGCCGTATAGTCCCGCTGCTGCGGCAGTGGCAAGCATTAGACCTATCTCAGATTGCACAGCCCTCCCTCTGGGGACTACCAGTCCATTGCTCTGAGCCTAGAAAAGGAAAGCTATGAATAGCTAATATTTCCCAGCCTTCTAATGGAAGGAGGATTCTGCAATTATTGTCATTAACAAATCTTGAGATATAATTGAGAATATGACTCACACAGTTCCAAGCTGCACAGAGTGGAAAAATAAGAAAGAATAAAAAAAAAAACAATTCTGAAGAAATAGTTAAAAAGTAGATGAGATCTTTTTTTTCTTCTTTTAGGCCAGCAGTGTAATGTCATCTTAAATGGCCAGCAGAAATGTTAAGGGCAGCTGCTTTACGTCATAGAAACAGCTTCTGTCTTGAAGCTAAAAGTTTTTCTGGAGCACCCCTCCATGTCGAAAGATTCAATGATTCCAGCTACAAATGGCCGTTTATTCATCGGTCTCTATTCTTAGTCCAGGAGGAACTGTGAAGTAGGAAAAAATAGCTTTGGGAAACTGGGGAGGGCAGGTGTGAATATGTCTCTCTGAACAGAAAGCCTCTGAGAGCAAACATGGAAAACAAAATCACAGTTGTTAGAAGATTAGAATCATGAGAACACATGCTTAGTTCAGAGCCAAGCACACCGCTTTGTTAATCATTAAAATACAGAAGGGAAAAAAAGATGCTGCAACTTTATGAGAAAAAAGAAGGGGAGAATCAATTCCATGCTATTAAATTGTCAAATCACCCTAAAACTAATAAGGAAAACAGTTATCAATAGTCTGGCTTTAGGGCTATGTAATAAATTTAACATATTTGCCATCAACCAAACAGAAAGGAATATTTATAGAACTCAAAGCTGTGCCCATAACAGCACGATGTACATTTTCAAATGTTTAATTTACTATTATTACTTTAATAATTCTGAATGTATTATATAGCACTAAAAATCTACATTCTGTTTTCCATCAACCAGTGTCAGTCCTTGACATGTTTGTTTCTCCTCTACGGTCTGAGCTCTCGTGCAGACACATATCAGACACAGCCCGCAGCTAAAAATAACTGGAAAGCGTCTATTAAGTCAACAGGTTGACCAGCAGGCATCAATTGTGTGGCCATGACATCGCTTGACAGGATCACTGTAGATGGCTCATACAATAAAGGAAAAAATCTTTTTTGTTTTTACAGGTGATATCTCTCAAAGTTTTTAAATCAGCAGTTAAGACGTAAAGTTCAGAGCGGGTTGTGTTGTATCTCAAAGCTCCGTTAGGAGTGGACGGGCCACGAGTAAACACAACGACAAACAAATGCTGCAAACTGAAATGGTCTTGCAAAGCTTTCTTACAGAAAATAAACTTTCAAGCACCAAAATGGGAAGAAGAAAAAAAGATTGCGGTCTATCTCTGTAAGATACTTGGGAAAAGTTTACTTCATGTGTCACATTTCTTTTATGTCACCATTTAAAAGGCAAAATCTTTTCACGGTTCTGCAACATGTGAATAACATCAGAAAATCCTGCCTTTATTCTGACAAAAAAAATCAAATAACGAAGAAGGTACCGACAGTGGCAAAAAAAGTGCCCTTCGGCGTGCTTCTTTGAAAGCAGCTTATTGGGAAAAGATTTTTCAGCATTTCAGGATAACGGCATGTGGGCCCACAGCATGGCAGAGCGCCACACACCCCTACAGTTCCTGGTATGGCTGCTGATGAGGAGGGATGGGGATTTCTTTATTGGGTGTTGCCAAGTTGGCACTTGGCAGATGAAACCACAGCTGTGGCGCTCACAGACATGACTTGAGCCTTGTGCACAGACTGAACGTGGGACACTTCAGGGAACATAATGCCGTCTTCTCTCCGATGGGTTTAGACTTCTACACAATCTGCGGTGGAAGTTAGACATTTATTTTCTGATTAAAACTTTAATCCTTTTTCTTTAAACTTAAAGAAAACAGAAAACAGAGACAAATCAGCAGGATCTTGTTTGGGAGCTAGACTATTAGAATTCAACATCGTCTGTAAAAGCACAATGGCTTGCACTCACTACGGACTCAAAAAAACCCAAAAGCACTCTGAGATTAAATCTAATCATAGCCGTTATGTTTTTCGTGCCGCAAGGAAGCAACTTCACATTCGCTGCAAATGTATTTTCTCAAGGCCTCGCAACCCAGTGTGGAGAATCAGGGCGGGTAGAGCATTAGAGCTGTTCCGTATCAATCAGAAGTCCTGATCTATTTGCGGTTTGAGCAGCTTTACCCTCGACAGCTATCAAGTTATGCAAGAGGTGCACATTTTTCTAAAAGCACAGCTAGTATGATGAAAAAAGAAAAAGCGAATAAATAAAGTTCTCTCAAGTCAAGATCAGAATTAGTTTTCAGCATTTCGTTTAGAAACTGTTGAAATCCTATGTTCGGGAGGCTTAATGATCTCAGAATAACATAATATTCTTGGCACATGGGAAAAAGAAAATTAGAGGATTGAGCTGAACAACCCTAAGTGGCAGCAATAAATCACGTCAGTGTGACCTTAACAGAACAGATGAGGAGCGAGAAAAACACGTTTGATCTTCTTCAAGCTGACAATGGATATGAAGTTCCACGGCACTAACATACTGAAACACAAACTTCCATTCAGAGGTGTTTTAACTTTTTAAACTATGGCGTTTTGTTTTTTTACGGACTTTCTCTGCAAATGTAGTAAAACGATAAATATAGATACATCCGTGCCTTCAGTTCTGTGTGGAAGCCATTAATCGATGCCTCTATTTTGAGCTGGTGCCCTGTGATGTCTCAAAGGAAGAAAGTGAAGCACAAATCCTTGAACTGCTGGTTAGAGGAACAGCATTTTTCTACATCGGTCATGGCAAGGAAGGTTTATTTGTATAGCACATTTCGTGTACAAGACAATTCAAAGTGCTTTACAAAGAAGAATTTTAAGAATTTTAAGGATTTAAAACCAGAAAAACAAAGAAAGAAAACGAATCAACAAAATAAATTAGATAGATAAGAAGGGGGAATCCAGGAAAACTATTCTATTTGTCATAAAATTGACATGAAGGTTTTGTCTAAGCAATAAGCCTTTTCTGAAAGTCACTCATCTTCTTCCTTTGAATTGTTGCTATGCAACCACTTGATAATACCACAACATTTTCCTTTGTGAGTTTCTATTATTACTCAAGGGAGAAAATTTGAAAATCTTCCTAGAAACCCAAAGAAATATGAGAACTGACAACTTCCTGTAGAACTCTAGAAGGGGCGGAAATACCTTTTGGTGCAAGTTTACTACTAAAAAGCCACGTGCCCAACAGGCAATGAAGCAAAGGCAACCCTCAAAGGTAAAGCAATGCTAGAGATGCTGGTGATGGATCTCAGTCACACTCATTAATATACTTGCAAATGCACACAAATACTAAGTTGTAGTTAAAGCCTCATTTGGCTTATGTTTGCTCCATTAGAAAGAGCTCGCTCTCCAAGCACCACTCACTGCGAACCACAGGCAGCATAAAGGTGTCCATTTAAATGACTACAAACAGAAAGCAAGTCACTGTTGTCAAGGCAGCCAGACAGCCATTAAATCACCTGCTTCCATTAAAGGATCAATTACTGTACTTCTCTTCTGGGTGAACGGTTTTACAAAAAATAGCTTTAGACACCAAAAGCGGAGAAACAAGAAGTGGAGAGTTCGCGAGCGCCGTCGGCTGCGTCGCACGCGAATAGAATTCCCACTGATCAAAAGAGACGACCGTGCTGTGTCCGTGTCATCGGGGGGGGCGACACACTCTGTTACCTTTGGACGAGGCGGGCAGGTGGCGGCCAGGCGCTGCAGCTGCTCTGAAGTATGGCTGCAGGAGAGGAGATCAGAGCAGCACGCCGTGCAGCCCAGTCTCTTCATCAGGGCAGAGATGATGCTGCAGCCACAGCCACACATTGACTTGCTCATTAGTAGCCCGGCTGTTCTGGGGTTAGAAGATGTGGGGAGGAAAAGACTGGCGGCGAGCTGCACCGCTTCCTGGTTCTTGATGAATCCCCCCCAGTTGTCCTTACAGCAGATGCTTCCTCTGCATTGTATTCCATAAGGGGCTGATCCACAGGTAGTCCATCAGAGACCTGGCTAGTTTTTTTTTCCAGGGAGTACAATGCGGACGCCGATGCACACCTTAATCCAGTCAAGGGACTTGAGAGGTTGTCAGTCCATTTCCCTCCCGATCACTTACCATTTTCTCCACTCCTTTTGAAATACTACAGCTGCATCTCCTCTGAAGCCCAACTCACAAAGTACCTTTCTGTTGTTTGTAAAGAAAATACTAGAAATCCACAAGACAGTGTCTGCCACTAATCCCTTCCGTCTCCTACTATTTTCATCTGTTTCTTTCCCCTCCCTCCACTCCCTTTGGCTGCTGTGAAATGATGCTTTCCCTGTGAGCGCTGCTGCCACCACCACACACCCCACCACCACCACCAGCTGCAACGGTAAACCACTCAGACTCTGCTCCTCCAACTTGCCGATAAAAGAGCTTTTCTCGAATGAAATTTGAGCTCCTAGCTGCCCCATTAATTGGGGAAGCGGAGGACACAATATTATCAGAAATGCACACCACCCGTGCACCAAAGGGCTGATAAGGGTGCAATGAGGATAACGTGGGGGAGGTGTCCCATAATAACCTGGGAAACCATAACAGAGCCGAGACTGTAATGATAATAATCTGCCTCCATGGTGAAAGCGTGGCTGTTGAGCACTATTATAATCTGTTAAATAAACATCTGATTTCTAAAAAAAAACACAAATGGACCTTCTGAAATCTGCCATTTTATTTCAACACTGTAACTTATCATATAATAGAGTCACTAAAAGCCAATTCAAATCCCCACATTGTTTTCAATGCACCCCTGTGTGAGACCACACCGCATGGCTACTGACTGATATTCAAAGTCAGGACCATAAACCACAAAAGCTAATAGCTGATAATCTGATGAAGCTCGGGAGTCATGGGAAGAGGGAGACCAAGAAGAAAGGGCAGTAATAATGGAATGGAAGAGACAGACAGGCTAACAATAAGATGAATAATCGCCCGTTGGTTCAAGGAAGAGCCATTTGCTATTAATAGCTCATTAACAACCCTATATTCTAAAATCACTCATCAGCACACGACACACAGAAACAGAGGAAAGAACAGCAACGTCTGTACAGATGAACACAGACTGCTCATAGAAGAGGAAGTCACTTATTTCTACGGTCTGGTTTAAGGTTGGTGTCAGGTCTACCAAACGAGATGTGAAAATGCAGCTCTACAATCAGAGTTTGCTGTAGAAAATGTAACAACAAATTTGACAGTTTGGTTGGTCCCTCTTATTGCTTTAATGTTGTAATTTTGGAACAACACACATTCAGTTTGGTGGCAGCTCAGATGTTTTGGTAATTTATTTGTTCTTTAAGTTAACATGTTTTTCTGTAAGACTACTTATTATTATTATGTGCGTATCAATAAATCTTAATGTGTTTTTTTATTTCCTTCTGTTCAAATAATGTTTTTTTATCTAAACTACAGAGTTTTGTGCAAACTAAGCAGAAAATGATAGAAGCCATACTGAATTGTTATTAGCGTAAAGCCAATCTTTAACTTTTAACTGATCATTTATCCATATATTGACAGTAAATAATGAATAGTTATTTTAATCAAAAATATTTATGTCCATAACATTAACAAAATACCAAATATTATTTCAAAAGCTACAATATCCCAGCATACTGACCTACTTTCTACTCTCCACTGTATTTCCACGTGTTTAGAAAAAGAGAGTCGGAGACGTATTCCTACATCTCTGTGTGTTGCACACTCGAGAGAAAAAGGTGGCGGGACGAGTGACACAGCACTAAAAGCTGCTTTCAGGGCACATCTTTGTGCTTCTAGTGAGAGTAAAGGAGGCAGTTCATTGAGACACACAGATTTCATCAAACACAAGGAGTGCCATCTTCCCAGAACAAACATCTCAGGGGAGACAAACTGCAAACAGAAGACTGCAAATAAATAAATAAAATAGACGAAAAAATAGACCCCCCCCACCGACTATGATCTTCAGAAACTACCAATAAAGAAAGACTTTACAGCATGGGGCAGGAGAACATTTTACAAGTCGTTGTCCTTCATGGGAACTGTTCTTTTCATGCCCGGGACCATAAGACAGAGCAGGGTGAAAGGGTACTACATTCAATATTTATGAATATTGCTTTCCACGATGTCAGCTCCCTGCCTCAGTATTGATCCAAAAAAGGAGACTCTCTGCACTACGGCACAGGGTCTCTCAGGAAGAAGGTACACAAATCTAGCACACTGCAGCTAGATGGCGATGTAAAGTCAGACTTGAGTGGGCCCAGCAGCTCCAGACAGAACATTACAGCTTAATTCTCCATTACTGTTCTTTGTGCAAGTCCTACGTTCATCAGCATCCCCTGCTGCAATCTGCACTCTCAGAGGTTTTTTAAAAATGGGATGAATCGTTTTGCACAAAGCCAATTCACATGCTTGTCTCCCACTCAATCTTGAGACCTTTCAGATGATTTAGCTTCATCATCTGTAGTTCCGTCTGCAGCGAGACAAAAAACCACAAGAATCAGCCGGGAGCAGAAAAAAGTGTTGATGCTTGTTCGAAAGACAGACTTTGCGGAGAATCTGAGAAACCCACATTGCTGCAATTAGCTGTAGAAGCTTTAGTGCGACCGACCAAAAGAGTGCAATAAAACAAAACCACAACCATCTGAAGAGCCCCTGTCGCTTGGCAAATACGCAAGCCTTCAACCCAAATGACTTTATCCAAATGAGACAGATTAAAAAATCATAAATATATGTTTTTATTTAAAAGATATAAAGTCGTTTAGCTGAAACGGTGAAAAAGAATTAACCGATTTTAACAGTGGGAGAAATGGAGGGTGAAAGTACTGCAGTTATGCAGTACTTTCACCCTCTAGAGCTGCAGAAGGGGACAAAGTGCACAAGTCAAACTTAGGAGGTTTCCTTAAGTTCAAACTAAAACAAATTATTTGTTTGCAAAGTTAAATAATTTTTGTTTCATGACTGGAATCTATTCTCATTTTCCATTCAGGAATAATATACTGATAGTTAGTTTTAATCTTAATGTCCAAACTGTTTCAATTCAAATTTAACTTTATTTAATCCACCACTATCAAAAAAAGTTGCCACATGTTGGGTGAAGATTTTTACTACTGAACTATTAAAACGTTTCTAAAGAGCATGTCGAGATAGTGCTCAAAGTCGATGGAGAGGCCTTCTGCTCTTCTTCTACATTACTGACAGTTAACACCTTAAATCATTTTTCAGACCTGAAAGACGACACCAAAGTCACTGCAGACTGCATTGGGAGACACTTATCGACTTTTTCTCTTCCGCTAGCGACTCTAAAAAGAGACACCAAAGGCCAATCTCTTGTGCAGCTTCAACAATTTGAAGAAAAAGCAGAAAAAAACACTAAAAATGGAACTCTTGAATGGTTCAAACAAAAAACTGTTATGCATACTATCATTATTTAATCACTATTTAAACCTGTACTGCTCATACTCTGCATGTTTCAACAGATATACATCCTGTACAAAAGGATATAAGGAGCACTTTTAATGTTTGTGAGTGCTAAACATATAACAGAGTTTCCAGGCACATTTCGCTGAGCGGGCTGCCCTCTAGTGCTCACAGTTTAAAAACACCCGTGAGTAAAACGTCAGACACTGTGGTGTATATCTTCCAGTGTAAGTCTTAATGAAAAGCATACTGTTTCTGCAAACTAAGTGAATTTTAAGTTTCTTTGCTGAATGTGGGAAATATTATTAAATGGTTATTGTGAAGAAAAAATACAAAAGTATTCAAAAAGGATAAAATTAACCAAACCACCATGACATTCTCATATGTGGCTCATCTGGATTACATTTAAACAGTTTCAATACTGCACACATGCATGCAAATAGCTTTGAACTATGTTTTCCTCGACCTGCATTGAATTACCAGCTACATTTCTCCAGTTGAGCATGCCAGTTGATTCTCTGTTAAGTTCTAATATGTGCTTCAGAAACAAATTGGGTCGCCCCTATTCACCATCAGCTGTGAGGATGCTCATCTCTGTTCTAAATTATTTACAGAAAATGAGTGGGAGAGGTGTGGGACTGATTATTGAGTGACAGAGAATGATTAAATCTGTTGCTTTCCGGCACTGCTTAGGAAGCAGTTTCCAACTCAAATCTAAAGGACTTTCATAGAGAATAACTGACATGAACTTCATAAATTATGTTTTTTTTTTCAGCATCAGATGTTCTTTTCTCTAATCTGAAAGAAATGGCAGCGAGTTTCCAGCAGCAGAGCAAAGATAACAGTGCTGCCTGCCAGGTCTGGTTGTACCGCTGACTGGTTTACGACTGCACCCGAACACGAGCTAGAAAATTGTCTTGACTTGACAAAGACACACAACAAACAAAAGATGATATTCTACTTCTCTTCAGCATAAGTGGTCATTTCAGATGTGTGGAATTTAGATCTGGAGCAAAGCAAAGATTGAGGCACTGAGTGAGGAAGCTGGACATAAATGAGAATTAAATCCCAAACTATCACCTTAAATTATTCAAACTCCCTCTCGAATGTCCCCGTTCCGGTCCCCGGGACTAGATAAACGCTTTTTGGCCAGAAGACAATGTTTACACTTTGACATCTGAGTGCCAGGCCACAGTTTAAAATGCAGCAGTAAGCCAAGCAAGGCGATGCTGTGTGCTATCGCTTTACCTCCAATTCACCAGCGCGTGCCTGGAATGAATTATTCAGGACTTTCACCACACACTTGGCTTTAAGAAATAGCCCCTGTTACAGCTCTGAGCACTAACTGTGCAGAAAAATCCCTAAGTGCATGCAAACTGCTACACAACCAGACATTCAACAAGACTTGCTG